GCATTTGGAAACTTCAAGTTATGAATTCCTATTATTTCTCAAAATGTACAGCTAACTCTTAACAAAAAAAAAGCCTCAATTAAACATTTGAATGAGTTTGAACTATTACTTGAAAATGAAGTCTGTAACAGCAATCTTGGTGCCACCTTAGGCTTACATTAGGAAAGTGGCAGCTGTCTTTTAAGTTCCATCTTTAAGAACTATTAAAACACACATCCCACGAAACATGAACATAATTTGCAAAAAAATCAGAATCTTAAATGTTAAAGCGTGTTATAAACCTTTCTGGAACTATGTCATATATTCCATAATTATCCTGGAAAAATACATTTTGATGTCTTTAATATTCAATAATTAATATCAAGCATCTAAGGATAATGATATAGGCAAATTTGTGTTCTGACAATTTCATTTATGGGTTTATTTTCTTTTAGATATAGAGAGCTGGGTAATGGAACATCAGTGTCATGTTTTAATTGTTACATCACAAAATAGAAAGACAACCTGTGTGCTCATGTGATACTTGAGTAAGTCCGACGAAATCTTCGGCTTGGCCTAAATAATTCAGGTATCGGACACTCACCACCTATCTCAAGAGACAGCTGATTCTGCCTTTGAACAGCTGCCATTTAGGATCTTCTTCATGTTGATCCCATATCAGTCTGACCATATCGTCCATCCACTGAGCAAGCATTACACCCAGGGCCAGGCAGAGCAAGCCCAAACCCTTTCCCATAAGATAATCCTTCAAATTCTCCAAGAGAGTTATTGAGTCCCCCCCCCCATCTTTTCTTCTCCAGATCAAATCTTTTCTGTTTCAAAAATAGAATTGGACAATCATCTGGGACTGCCTGCTATAGATCAAGCAGCGAGCCAAGTCCTAGCGATAATTAGGACGTAAAGCTTGGTGGCTGTCTTCATGTGGTCATAGTCTATGAAGAAGCCAACACATAATCAGAAAGAATAATAAAATGTGCTCAGTGCAGTTGTGGAGACTAAAAACAGGACGCTGTGTGTAAGTATGACAGAAGAGACAGTTCTGCGTGCAGGAGTCAAGGAATGCCTCGCCACAGAGCTGATGTGTGAGCCGAGTCTTGAGAGGCAGGTAGGAATTGGGCAGGTGACTGTGGCATGGAGGCTGGCAGGGAGGAGGGGCTGGCTGCCTCTCTGCAAAGAGGGAGCACAGGAACATGGGGCTGTTAAGAACAGTACGTGCATGGAACTGCAAGTCAGCCAGTTCCACGGATGCCCAAGGGTAGGAGAAAGGGGAGGGTGGAAGGGTACATGGCAGGTAGGAAGCAACACATCTCCTTGTAGGTTCTTACAGGTTCGCTTGACAACATGAGAACTGCTGTCTTGCTAGTCACAAAGAGCCACCGGATGATTTTAAGCAGAGAGAGGACACTGTCAAATTTGCATTTTAGTAAAATGTGTCAGGTGGCTGTATGAAGAAAGGATGGGATGAGGGGGGAAAAGAAAAAAGCAAAAAGGACCCTGTGTCGTAGTGCCTATGCGGTGCACGTGGAGAGTTCAGTGAAGTTAGGGCCCCGACTGTCACGCAGGGAAAATCCCCAGGACTCCAATGGACGTCAGTGAAACACATGGTCAGGAAGATTTTCTTTTTAATTTTTTTCCTTAAAGACTCCAACTTCTTCAGCCATTCCATGTCATACTGTTCCCATCTCCTCACCATTTTTTTTTTACTTTTTTTTGATATTGATAGAACCTAGTGACCTTCTAGCACAATTTAATTGCAACCTATTCTTCCTTATAGTGCAGTGATCCTCAAATAATAACAATGTCACTATTTACATCATGGTGTCAACTTAAACTGCAATTAAGTCACAGTTCCAGGCTATTGGGAGCTATTGTCATAATAGCTATGGCTTCCTTTATCTGCAAATGCTGAGTTATGAGATACATGATTATAGGCAGGAGTAATTAGTTTTAGATTTATTTTTATAATTATATTAATTGAACAGGCAAGTGAATTAAAAAAATATGAAGGGCATGGCATTGAGCCTGATGCAATGTCTTCATAATAACTAGATTAAAGAAATGATTATTACCAGCAGATGAAAACAACCCTTGCTCATTTGTAAGAGTGCAATGTAAACACAACGACCCACGCATCAACTCCAAGTTCAGTCACTATGTAGGACCCTTGCCATGTGGAGTCTTCATGAGAGTCCATTTGAAAATGGGCCCATGCCCAAATCAAGGGGAGAGTGTCTTGGCTGTCCCGCCAGGGCTTAGGGTCTGCAGCATTCCTTCGGACTGCACCCACAAATGCTTGAAATTTCCCCAGAACACATGCTCGGTAGCATCTAGGCTCATCACTCTTGCATGCCCAGGGCCTCGGCTTCCCACTATTCCTCAACTTCTAGCAAATGGCTGTTTTGATCTCCCCAAGCCCCTCATCCTCAGATCCCAGTTGCCCTGAGTGTCCACCCAGCCCTACCCTGGCAAGCCCTGCAGCCCTTCTCCTGGCCGTGGCAGTGAATTCTGGGAAACGGAGCTGCTTAATCTCTCTTGGCCCAGATCCTTTATATGGGTCCATCTGCTCTTCAATTCTGCATCGATTAGAGCCAAATCCAGCCTTTGTATGAAACACTTAGGGGGCCCAGGCCGGCCAAGAAGGAGGAGCGGGCGGGTTTTCTGCTGCATGTCTTCCTAGATGAACTCTGCAATGTGAGCTAACAGACCATGGCTTATAGTGGGCCCTGGAGCGTAACCATGAGCAGCAATTCAGCATATACCCTTGAAACTCGAATGATGGCCCCCAGGACACATCAGTCTTTTACTTGGCAGTCGGTCATGTCTCATTAAGCCTTAAGTATCTAGGGATAGAGGCCTAAGCATCATCATGCCAGGATACCAGGCCAATATGAATTGGCAGACTCTTACACTGACAAAATGAACAAGGTACTTGTTTTGAAAAGCAGAGGGGGAAATTTGCTTGGTTAAATTATTTTTTTTTTCTCTGAGCAAATGTATTGCCTTACGTATGGATAAGAAAAACAAACACACAGTCTTTACCATGTGAAAATAAACACCTTCAACTTGCTCCTCTTTCAGTTAATTAGGAAACAATAATCAAGGATCTAGGTTCAGCTTTATTCATTAGCAACATAACTATATAGACAGAGAGGGCCCCCAGTATGCCACTAATGATAACCACCACCTACTGGCTGCCCACTCGGAGCAAGCCATTCTCTAATCTTCCATACAGTCATGAAGGTGGACATTTTCCCATTTTGCAGATGAGAAACTAAGATCCAAAGACAGGCGAAGCGGCAAAGGACAGATCCGAGCCAGGTCAGTTCGATTCCACTAAAATCTGGAGGCTCAGCAAGCCTCAGAGATGGGAGGTGGGAGATGTACGCATATAACTATGGTGCCTGATGACAAGTGGCAGGCATCGCAAGGGTGGCAAAGTGGTAAGGGAACTCAGAGGGAAACAAACGCCATTCCTAACTGGCATGAAAGTTCAGTTTGGCTGGCAGAGGGCACGCATGGAGACCAGAGTAGGGGACACGGGAATGGTGAAAAACAGTCCCCAGCATTCAATCACAACCTAACGGTTTGTGAGCAAACTCTGTGCAACACTTAACACAGAGCTGAGCGTAACAGGTGCTGAAGAAAACCTGCTGACTTATAAGCCTCACCATCTTTCACTACCTGACTTCCCATGCCATGTGGACTCCGCCTAGTCATGGGTGTCATGGCCTATGTGACTTCGAAGCTCTTTGTAGGTTCATTTCAATTTTCTATGTGTTTTCTGATCTGCAGAAATCAATGTCGAGGGCTTTGTGTCTTCAAAAAAAAACAAAAGAATTAGAACATATATTGCATGGAGTCTTACTTTAGGGAAGACTCCCCAGAGGAAAATACACGCTCATTTTGGCATGGCTTACCCTTATTCTTGGTTTCTTTGAGAAAGTCTGGCCTTTGGTAAACTAGCCAGAGAGCAGGTAAGGAAAAACTCTGAATAAAATGCTTGCAATTCTGAGGTATCTGCTAGAGGGCAACATATGTTAAATAATAATGTGGTTGTTTTTTCTGTGGGATGGCACAAGTTTTATTTAGTTCAAAAGCAAAATCTAGAGCCTGCAAGGTACCCCGATGATTCTTTGTTAAAAACAAAAAACAATCCACAGCACCCATACACTTCTCAGCTGAAACCAGCCTTTGCAATTTTGCTGTTTTTCAAGGGGTTTGCAATGGACGACTTTATTGCTTTTGTCCCCTTTCCAAACAGCTTCACAAAATAACCTGAACATGTTGTAAGGCAGCTAAGCTTCTCCACTACCAACTGTGAGGTCCTCTCCAGAAAGCTCTATTAACTACCTGAAAACAAGCAGAGGCGAGAGGAAGGGGAAAGGGAGATAGACCTCCGAGGACAGACGGACACACATAGGATGCGGGCTGTGATTCCCAGCAGCGTTCACTCTCAAGAGCAGGCAAGGGCAGGTTTCTAACGAACCCCATTTCTAAAACTAATCAGAGGGTCAATGTCGGTGGTTTTATTTCATTACCTGTGGTGCACAGATTGTGTTATTCAGAGAGACCCCATTGTTTGTTTGTTTGTTTGTTTTTTGAGAAAAGCATTTTTATTATCATCACCACCCAGCTTATTTGTGCTGGATTATGTAACCAAATAGCCAGATCTTCTAAAGAACATCTACATAACATTTCTTTCATGTTTAAAAGATGAAAATAACTGTACAAGGTTAAGGACAAAAGTACATAAGACAGCGGACACGAAAAATTTCATGTATGAGATTTTATCCCACCTGCAGCTTTTAGATATTTGAAAAGTAGAATTTATGAACTAAAAAATATTGTCCTTCTATAGTCCTGTCAAGTTTAATGGAAGTGGGTTTAACCTGATTACAACACTAACACCAGTATCACTGATCTAATATTTACAAAAAATCGTATTTTTCAATAAATTAAAGTCAATGCAACACCCATGCAAGCCAGAATGCTAGCTGTTTGGTGAACAAGGACTTGACATCAGAGGAGGAAGTCTATAAAGTCCCAAACTTTACATGTGTGAACTTTTTCAAACTGTATCCATTCCTCGCATTGAAGATGTGAAACCCAAACGCGTTCCTCTTTGTGTATGGGTTTGTGATCTTGCCATTTCATACTGAGCATCTAGATTTCTGAATACTTCTTCCTGTTGTTTCAAAGTCTTATAGTTCTCTTCATCAACTGAGCTACATCCAGCTTCATCTTCACTCTTAATACTCCTTAATTTCCTAAATTTCACGTTTTGGTCCTTGTTTCCAAAATTCAATTTTTCCCATATTTCAGCAGATTGGGATTTGTCCTCTTCTTTCTTGCCTTGCCAAAGCATTTTCCTTTTTTTCTCTTGCTCAGCAAATTTCATTGGATTCACAGCTGCTGGGTTATAATAGCTAGGTACAGCTATTCCGGTCTCTGCTAAAGCTTTAGCTTGTAGGGCTGCCATCTGAGCTGCCACAGCTATCTGAGGTGTTACTTGTGTCCCTGATGCCAACAGGGCAGCAACATTCAGAACAGAACCTCCAGTAGCTGCAGCTGCTGCAGCTACTTCTTGTTGTTTTTATTTTTCAACCATTTCCTTCTCTCGTTGTTCTTGTAATTTCTTTGCCCTTTCCAACCTCCTAGCTAAAGCTTCTTGCTCATCCATTGCTGTCTTCCTGCCTCTGAAGGGAGGTGGACTAGGAGTCCGGCTTGAACTTCTTCTAAATCTTCTTGGTTTTTTTAATTCTCTTCTTTCTGTCTCGACTTCTGCTCCTTGTCCTACTCCTGCTTCTAGTCCTATGCCTGTGTCTTGATCTTGAGTGGGAACGAGACCTGATCCTTCGTTTTTTTTCCCTGCTTCTGGATCACGACTTCTTCCTCTCTCTGCTTCTGGATCGCGACTTCTTCCGCTCCCTGCTTCTACTACGATGGCGTCTTTCACGAGACCTAGATCTTGAGTGACTTCTGCCTCTTGATGACTTTCTTTCTTTACCTTTGTGTCTGTCCTCACCATTTTCAGATGAATTTAGTCGCTCTCTTCCTTTATCAGAAGAATGTTCTTTGTCATTGTGTTCCTCAGACTTGTGTTTCTTAGAGGATTTATCTTTGGATTCATGTCTTCTTGCCTGTTTTAAGAAGAAGTTGGTTCTTATCATGAAGTAGGCTTATTATTTTGCTATCTGAGTCTGCAGCGTCTTCAGTTCAGTCTCTTCGTGCATTAGCACGCTCTTTGCTTCTGCTCCGGCTCCTCTGTTTTCTTCCTTCATTATCCGATTTTCGTTTTCTTTCTCTTGACCTTGATCGTGATCTTGAATGATGATGTTTTGAGGCCCGCCATAGTTCAGAGTCCTAGCCGCTAGGGCGGCGCCTCCACTTGCCGCTCTCAACAGTACCCGCCATCCCGACGCTTCGCCACAGACTAAATCGCTCACGCGAGAGACCCAGATGGCACAAAGGGGGATGAGGCCCGGCGGGTCGCACAGGTTGCTCCATTGTTTGGTTTTGAAAAGGGTTTTTTAGCTGGCAATTTTTATGCGTATCTAGAAAGCCAGGATATACCCCATGCAAGAAAGAATATGCAAGGGGTGCAGGTGTTATTCATGCTGAGCTCATCCCAACCACACCTTCCACTTCCCCACCCCAACAGCAAGCCTTCTCTAACAGATAGGTTTGTTTGTCCTCGTGTATCTGAGAAATAACGTTCTACAAAACCGGCATTTAGAGCCATCATAAATATGTTGTGTAGGAGGTATCCATCATACCTGAAAAGGCTGCATACCTGTTCTCTCAACCCCAGGTGGGCATAGTTTATCAGATCAGATCAGATACTAAGTTTCCTACAGGAAAACCCAAGGTTGAGAGAGGTTTTCAGGTAGTTAAGTTAATAGAGCTTTCTGGAGAGGATCTCACAGCTGGTAGTGGAGAAACTTAGCTGCCTTACATCATGTTGAGGTTATTTTGTGAAGGTATTTGGAAAGGGGACAAAAGCAATAAAGTTGCCCATTATAAACCCCTTGAAAAATAGCAAACGTACAAAGGCTGGTGGCTTTCAGCTGAGAAGTGTACGGCCACTGCAGATTTGTTTTGTTTTTGTTTTTAATCAAAACATGAAAATTCAATGTCCCCAACTGAGAACAGCACGAAGGATGATTTCCCAGGTCCCCGTGGAAAGAGACAGTGCAGAGCACACGACAGCACTGAATCCAGAGGCTCATTAAGTGACCAGCCTCTGAAGCTGGACTGTCAGGCGAACTGGCCGTGAGCTCTCACTGTGCCCCAAGATCACTTAAAATGACAAAACCTTCACTCAAATTTTAGCACTCAAAGTCCTAAGACCTTCTTGCTACAGATCGAAAGAGTCATGTGGCAGTTAGGCACAGGGCAGCTTAGAAGTGATGGAACTCTAACAGCTTCCATCTGAGACCATGCCTCCCCAGAAAGGGTCTCAATGGGTAAAACTGTTCTCAAATCATTCCAGGGGCTCCCAGTGGACTCCAGAGACCCACCCCACGTGCCCATAAACCCTAAGGGAACTCCTAAGAGGTGGGGTTGTTTTTCTGGTGTCCTTATCAAACTCCAGTTCTGGAGTATTGAAATGCATCACACAGGTAGCCTAGCGCCTTTCAAAGTCAGAATATCTCAGGGCCTCAAATTCTGGGGGTCCGAGTGATTTTTATGGCCCAGAGGCACCAGCATCTGAGGTGTCAGCCTGTGGGCATATTTCGCAATGAGGAAAATGCAATGGTAGCCCAGGTATCCCTGAATAACATTTCACTGTTCACAAACAAGGAGATGCTCACAGAGGAGACATGTTTATATTCCACTCATTTTGACACTTTTGATGATGTTGTTTCTGGAAACATCCTAAACTTCCAAGTAAACGCTGAAGACAACTTAATTCCATTGAATGGTCTGAGACATCTTATCATCTCCTTCCTCAGCTTCTGCCGGTTCTCCTCCTACCTCTGGGACTGCTCCTTCTAACCGCTTGTGCTCCCTCCTTCCCTCTGCCTAGTCCTTAAACTTCGGGAATCCTAAAAGTTCCATTCCTGGCCTTGCTCACCCCCGAGGCTCTACATGTGCTCCCCAGGACACTTTCACTTCAACTACTACATAGGTGTTCAAGACGTCAGTACCACCAGCCTGAGTTTAAGATCCTTGTCCTAGTTACTTATTTGATTTTTCCACCTGGAAGTCCCACAAATACTTTAAATGTAGCAATTGCAAATATGAGCTCATTATCTTTACCACCGAAAGGTTTCCTCCTCCTCTGTCCCAGTAAGGACCACTGGCCACTCAGCTGCTCTGTCAGCTGGGTCCAATCAGGAGATGGAAACCACACAGTCAATTAAAAAGGGGAAGCTTAATGTAATTATTAAACTATTGTAAGGGAGCAACTATAAAGATTAAGACTCTCAAAGGGAACCAAGGGATAAGGGAAAGTACCCCAGTACGGACAAATTTGGAATTGGGCCCCTCTTCTGAGGGCTGGGGTTCAGGTCCCACTGGAGAAGGTGGAATTGTGGCCCACTGTGCGATGGAGGAGGTGGCTGGGTTGTTCGGGACAGAGACGATCGACGGTCACTGGGCAACAGGAGCTCTCTCTGGGGTGCAGGTGAGCCCAGGCTGGTGGGCAGGTCACAAGGGAGTCAGGGCGGCACTGTGAGCCCAAGGCCTGGAGTGTGTCATGTCTACACAGGGAGGGCAGCAGCAATATGGTGCCAGGCCAAGCCAGAGCAGCAAGTTGACGGAGGGACTGTGCATTCTGGGTGTGCAGCTGGGGCAGGGAGCCTTTGGATGTCCCCACACACTTCTGCACCACCACAGCAAGAGCAAGAAAAAGCAGGCCAGGTGTGGTGGCTCACGCCTGTAATCCCAGCACTCTGGGAGGCTGAGGCAGGAGGATTGCTTGAGGTCAGGAGTTTGAGACCAGCTTCAGCAAGTGTGAGACCCCATCTGTACTAAAAATAGAAAGAAATTAGCCAGGCAACTAAAAATAGAAAAAAAATTAGCCGCACATGGTTGTGCACGCCTGTAGTCCCAGCTACTCGGGAGGCTGAGAAAGAGGATCACTTGAGCCCAGGAGTTTGAAGTTGCAGTGAGCTACGATGACTCCATTGCACTTCAGCCTGGGTGACAGAATGAGACCCTGTCCCGATAATACAATGCTGGACCTTCCTATATACACACCCTTAATATAAAGCATAATGTTGACACTCAGTAAATTTTCAATCACTAACTCAAAATGATTAGTAAATATCAGGAGAATTGGCTGCTCCTGGGCCTGGGCTCTTGAGTAGAATAAATTGTCAAAGTGATGAATGACTAATGTTTTTTACTTTCAATATTCAGCATTCAAGGATGCTGTGGCACTTCACCCGTGCTAAACTCAGAAATGCAAATGACCTCTATTGAAGGGTACTATTACCCTTTTAAGGTTGGCTGGAAAATGAGTAGCAGAGGTGAGCAAAGTGTACATCCATGATTATAACTCTGGCTTCCACTAACAATAAGTAAGTGTTCCAGGCTCTAACTTCAGTGCTGCCCTTGGATTCTTCACTTAATCCTCACATTGGCCAAATCAATTCCTTTCTCTGTGACTGAAGACAGTCCTTCAAGTGGCATGCCAATGGATTCCTTTCAAATTAGCCTCTCTGTCAGTGAGGGTGCTAATAAGTGCTGTTGAATGGATTTGTCCTGGGTTTTTCTCTAGCCAGTCACCATCAGAGGATGCCCTTGCATGGGACAGGTTGGAGTCTGCCCCTAGACCTTCAGCTTCTCAGGTGGACCCTAGGGAGGGTTGTGTCATGCCAGTGAGCATGTGTTCATGCTCATGTTGAGCTTGCCGTGTTTGATCAACTCCAAGGAGAGAGCTGCAAATGAGAGAAACAGCTCAAACTGAGAGGAGAATTTTGAGAGGAGTCATGTCAACACTGACCCCCACGCACTGAGACACACCCAGGAACTTGGGACTCAGGAATTCGGGGTGACTGGCAATTCAGGCACCACTGTTCTGGTGGTGCCACTAAACACGGAATTTAATTTGTGTTTGATAGTAAGGAAAAAGAACCACAAAAACACCATCCCGCCTTCTATGGTGTAGAGCTTTGGCGCCACTCATAGTGATATAAAACAGATACAACGACAACAGAAACAGCAAATCACTCTCAGCTTTCATTCTGTGCTCCCCTGTGCCATGTTACTCCCAGCCAAACAAAAGCATTTCACAATGAATTGATCATCTTTATAAATCAGTCCAGGAAAACCACCCCATAAGAAACCACAAATTGATTTCCACCAGACAGGACTTGTCTTAGATCGAGGGCTGGTCATTTGGCCCATCTACAAATCCCCATCTACAAATCTCCTTGACACTTTCCTCCTCATCTAGGGACTGTCAGACAGCTCCAGGGAAATGCTGGGCTGACATTTTAAAATTACCATTACCCCTCTGAACGGCCTTGCTTTCATCGTATAGCCTTTGTAATCACACACAAATATCCATACTTCAAATCGCAAACACTATTTGTTTTACACATAATTACATCTCTACTTAGTGAAAGTACTTGAGCTCAAATTTTGGCAATGCATTTATAATTGTGTTTGTTGACATTACTTCTGTTATTGTACATAAAATTAGCCCTGTGTTGTGAGAGCTGCCATAACTATCATTATTTCATTAGCATATAGAGGTTGTCCGGTTGTACTTTTAAATATTCATTAATTTGATGTGATGTCATTCTCGACATAAAACAATGCATTGTAGACATAAGTGATTAAGCTCCCTAAATCTTACCTCATTGCGTAAAATCACTGACCAATGCCCACGACCATTGGGACACGTTATAAATCTAAAGATAGAAGCAAAAAGTGCCATCCTAGCCAGAGCCCTAGACGTGGACCAGGTGTCTGTTGGTGAAAGAGACTGTTTGAACATAATTTGCCGTCAGGATGGAAACAACCATTCTTTTAGGTCACTTGAGCTATAACTTTTACCTTTTTAGGGGTAGTCCAGAAGCAAGAAAAGAATTTTGAAATCTCTTTGATTCTAAAATGTCATTGTTTTATAAGGCTCACCACCGACTTTGTAAAGACTTTCAAGGAAAGAAAGAAACACAACCACATTGGATGTGCATATTGATGCCAAGGTAATCTTTATAATCTAGAAGTAGTGTTTCAGAATCAAGGAAATACAATCAATATTTTACCCAAGTGCCTTACAAAACTCAGAATTAACTTTCTCACACAAAAGTTCTGGGGCATTTTTCCATTTTCATGATTCCCATTGATGCACTGATGCTTCTGTGGCCCTTGGCGTTCCTCACTGCAATCACTGGGAAATTCTAAGGGCAAGTTAAGCCATCATTTTATGTGTGGAGAGTAAAATGCGGCAATAATGCCCTTACAAATGTCCTATGCCTGAAGGACAGACTCTCACATCTTTTACACCTTTGGCTTTTATTCCTGGAGTCCAGCACTGTGCCTAGGACTAGAGAAGCCCTGAGTATAAAGGGAAGAGCAAGAGTTTTGTTCTCACAGAGGTCTAAATTCCATTCACAGCCATACATACTATCTGCATGACATTGACGAAATCACTCTCCGGCCTTAATCACAGTTAGTTTTCCCGTCTTCTAAACATTGACCTAAGTAATATCTACCTTGATGGATAATTGTCAAAAAGAGACAGAGAAGTTAACATGTAAATATTTTGCCTGAAACACATTATTCACTTAAGAAATGTTGGTATTATTATTGCTATTTTTAAACTTTTCATTAGAGACAGTGTCTTACTTGGTCACCCAGGCTGAAGTGCAGTGGAGTGATCATAGCTGGCTGGAACCTCAAACTCCTGGCCTCAAGCGATCCTCCTACCTCCTGAGTAGCTGGGGCTACAGGCACATGCCACCATGCATGGCTAATTTTTTGTTTTATTTTTCTGTAGAGACAGGGTCTTGCTATATTGTCCAGACTGGTCTCAAACTCCTGGCCTCAAGTGATCTTCCCGCATTGACCCCCAAAGTGTTGGGATTTACAGGCATGAGCCACCACACCCGGCCACGATTAGTATTTTTAACAGACAAATATGTACTCAAATGTTTGCTGAAAATTTTCAAATGATCGTAATGGGTGGCGAGCAAATAAGGAGAGATTAATACCTAAACCTATTTCTGTCCTACCTCTAATTTACCTGACAATGAGCACAATGAAGCACAAAGCTTTTCATACTCATAAACCATTAAAAATTCCCAAGAAATTGTACAAGGCTCAAAATCCACATTTCAAAGGGAACATTTCGTACCATTTGCGTTTGAGAAACTTAAGCTGCTGCCTTCTTCCCCAGTTTGAGTCACTCCTCAGGTTAACAGGGCAAATTAAAAACTTTTAAAAACCTGTAATCTAAAGTAAACTGCCAAGGAGTCTGAATTCGCAGCGATGTTAATGAACGTTTTTCAGTATCTCTTCATTAATGATAATCCATTCATTATCAAGCTGTTGCTTCTCTTCCTGTTTCTATTTTCTCTGCCAGACTCTATGAGTGAGATAGAATGCAATATTGAACCCAAATTTTATCTACATTATAATTAATCAGTTGCAGAATTATGGTAAAAGTAAAAAGACTGTCATTATCTTGCCTTTAGAACAGAGCCAAGGCCAAGCCAAGGTGAAATAGGAGCCAAATAAATGAAAGAAAGTAGAGAACGTGCGCATTTCTGTGTAAGCAACATTTGCAAGGCAAGGGAGGATTATACTGTAAAGTCCAAGGGACCAAAAAATAAAACCCCTAATAATAACTGTTACCATTTTTGAGAAATTAGCCATGTTTCAAACACTGTGCAAAGCATCTCATTTAGACTTAAAACAGTCTTCTGGACCAGCTGCAGTGGCTCATGCCTATAATCTCAGCACTTTGGGAGGCCAAAGTGGGAGGATCACTTGAGGCCAGGAGTTCTAGACCAGCCTGGACAGCACAGCAAGACCCCCTCACTACAAAATATTTTTTTAAAAAATAGCCAGGTGTGGTGGCCTGTGCCTGTAGTCCCAGCTGCTCAGGAGGCTGAGGTAGTATGATTGCTTGAACCCAGGAATTCGGGGTTACAATGAACTATGATCACTCTATTGCACTCCAGCCTGGGTGACAGAGTGAGACCTTGTCTCTGAAAAAACCAACAAACAAAGAAAAAAACACAAAAAGCAGTCTTTTAAGTTTGATTTTGAGTTTGGTACTACTATTCCTGTTTAAGACGAGACTGCGTTGCCTAATGGATAAGGCGTCTGACTTCATCTACTACTCCTGTTCAACAAATGAGAATTAGCGAAATCAAGGCACTTGTCCAAGTTCAGGGCCGGGACTAGGGTGAGACAAATGATGCACTTAGGGTGCAAAATTTAAGGAGATGCTCATTCTCAGGTTGGTGCAAGGGCATCTGGGACTAGGTACCTCCTTCAGTTGAGTGCACCAGGCTCTTCACTTGCTCCACCCTATCCTTGCTCTGCCACGATCGCAGAGCTAGAAAGAAAATGGCCAAAGAATTTTTTAGATCACGTCCAAAGTTCATGTTCTTGACTACTTTGTTAGGCACCAGCACAGGCAATCACACTCAGCTTTCTGGAAAATAAATTCAATAAATAATGAGCAGCTGCTAGTGCAGGGCACAGGGCTAGGTGTGCAGGGCACACGGAGAGGAAAAAGGCAGTCCCTGTCTTCAAGACTGCAGTGCTGGTGCACTGTGAAGCAGGGACATCCCACCCACGCTAGGAGGGAGGGAGGGAGGGATGGGATGGGAAGGAAAGTCAGGTCCATGCATTGCCCTGCATCTCAGTGTTGTCTGCCTAGCGCCGGCAGGCACTGTGGAAGGCTCCTACCCTCTCTCACACTCATTCTCCCCCTCTGCCACTGGGAACGATGACCCCTGTGCTATCGACATCACAGAGTCACGGTAATGACAAGTATCAAAAGGATATTGTATACTTTGTGGGATTATAAAGCAGAGAACTACTTTTATAAGAAATGCGAAGTGTAATGTGCAGAACAATGAATTCGGAATTGGAATCCCTGGATTCTAATTTCTGGCTTTGCCTCTTAACGGTAGTATGACTTCACGAAGGACTCTTCTCCTTGCACGAGGTGCTTCCTCGTTCAGTAAATGAGAAAACTGGATTAAAAATGACTCTAAGACTTCATAATTGTGTGACTGAAGTATGGAGGGAAATGTTTAGTAAAAGTTTGCAAAATTATTTGTGGTTCTGTCTTATTGTACATAAATCAGTACACATTCATAATATTGGCTGTGGGGACTTGCAAATTTATATTAATGATACTATTTAGGAAAAATACATGAAAATGTTAAAAGATAAATTTTGGCTAAGCATAAAGATTAACACTATACCAATTTGCTTATTCAAGAAATATGTATGGAGCACCGTGATGTGGTAAGAGTTGAATCTATATGATAATAGTTGAACAAAGCCTAAGCCCCTTTGTTTTTTCTACTTTGCTACATTGTCTCCCGAGGTAATAAGTGACAGACTGGTGTTGGGGAGAAACCATGAAGCTTTGGAGATACCCAGGTTCAACTCCCAACTCTCTCACTCACCACCTCTGTAGCAGCTACTGGGGATGTAACCTGAGTCCCTAAAGCCCAGTGTGCAAATGGATCCAAAGCTACTTCAGAGGGTTTTCATGAGGATTCAATTATTAGGTGCTTATAGAGATGCTTATGCATAGTAGGTGCTTAATAAGCTAGTAAGTAGCTAGCTGGTATCTGTTTGAAAAAGTGCTGGAACTGGAGTTGGGGACAAGAGCCAGCAACCTCATCCTGGAGAGCTGTGAGGCATGGGTAGATTTGCAGGTCCTGTTTTCTCCATCTCAGCTACACCCTCTTGAAGAGCCTCACAGGCAGGACAAGCCTCAGATCAAAACAGTCTCGTGTAGATGCTTTACTCATGTGAAGGGAAAGCGCGCCTACACTACCTTCTCAAATACAAATTACCAAACACATACCTGGGTGCATGTCCTGCTATGTCAGCCCCTCCTGTTGAGCTCCACTAATTTGCACTCTCTGCAACTAGGCCAGGCAAATAAGTGCAACGTGTTAAGAAGAGTTTTTATATTTGGAACCCAAAAACTAGGACCTGAATCATATAATCTCCTTGAACTTTTGGTTTTTAATCTGTAAAATGGGAATAATGATATCTGTTCCATTTACTTTGCAAAGTTTTGAGAACTGAGTTAGAAAATGCTTTTAAAACACTTATAAGACTACAGCATTGTACAAACATAGAGACCTATTGCAAAACACGGAGCCCAGGGAAAATGAAGCAAGAGCGTGTGAGTGAGCCTGTGCAGAGCCACCAGCACGCTCAGTAGAATAAAGCAAAGTTCACACCCTGACATCGGTAACCTGGAAGGACCGTTTGAACGTGCCTAGAACAGCTGGATGGGGCGCAGAGGTCACATCCATAAACATGGAGATGGAAACAAGAACGTACATCTCCCAGCTGATCCTCCATGCAGCGACTCCAGCTTTCACATCCTCTACCCATTCATTCTCAGTGATGTGCATGCTGGGACCAAAGCAATCCTGGTTACTTGGTGGCAAAAGGGAGTATGGAAGTAAATACACCCTAAGTGGATCCAGTCTGCTTACTAATTCACTCATTCTGTGAAGACATTATCTGTGGCTCTGATGAGGTATACTCTATCCACTGAGAGCAAAATAATAAGACCAGTGTTGCCTTTGGAGTCAGGCCTGCTGGAACTAAAAGGAACAGAACCGCCTCCTTCAACCTACCTTATTCCCAGGACTCTCCAATGGACATTCGAGTAAATTGAAAGAACTATATTCATTTAGAAAATATTCACTGAATGTTTTCTACAAGTAAGACACTATGTCAGGGAATATGTAATCCTCCATAATTCTGATTACAGAAATTCCCCATGTAATTCTGATTACAAAGGTAAGAGTCAGAAACTGAGCCTTCCTTTGTAGATCTATTGCCTCTGCGGCTAGGAATATTTAAAGAGACTTCCAATAGCTCAAAAGTCAATGCAAAGGAGACTAGGCATGTGCCCAAACTAGAAGAGATTTGGAGGTGAGAGGGTCTAAATATGACAGACAGGTCTTTACCGAAGTCCATGGAAATGAATCTACTCCAAAAGGGGCCACACTTCAATAATAAATAGTAGGAAAGATGCATGACTGAGAATTTGCCTTGAAAAACGAATCTATATATGTTTATCCCATCCTATATTTAGCAAAATTTAGGATATTACTATGCTGTAATTCATTGAACAAACACAAAAAATAATAGTCATTTAAAATAATTTTGCAGCAAATACTATGATCGCACAATGCAACATCCTTGAAACCATCTATGCCTTCTGCAGCGTGATCCAAAAGACAATCACATTTGCAAAATTATGAGAACCCCCTCTGTTTTCCTAATACCAATGCAATGATATTGAAATTATTTCCACTGAAGCATCTATCTTATCACCATTCTTGCCCAATTCTGTTTTCCTTTTCGGTTATTAACTGATCTAACTCTTTCAGAATCTTGTGGTTCACTAGCTTGGTAGTTATCCCCCATCATTTTCACTAATTTCAGGAAACAGCACATTCTTCACAAGATTTGCTCTTTCTCTTCACAACTGATTGTCAGTGGTGTTGTCAGATAACATCAGACACCAGCAGGAAACTGATCTTCAAAGACAGGGTGGGCCTGAAGAGACACTAGCGTAAATCAGAGAGATGGATGGTGACTGATTTCCTAGGCCGTAGGTTCATGCGTGACCTGTTGATATTACAGTGACTTTTTGCTTCTCTAAACAACACCCTAAATGTGGAGGTTTGGATAATGAAGAGCTTCTGTTCCGGTAATAAAGTACCATTCTAAAGCAAACTCGGAACATCCAACACTTTAATTTATTAATTCAATCTTTAAAGATATGATCAACAAAGACAAACTGTAGTTTTTTTTCTTTTGGGATTTTGGGGGGTAGTATTTCAGATTATACAAAATATTGATATGTTTTTAAAATATATTATAATTTCATAAAATATTAATACATTGTTAATATTAATAAATCAACATATGGTGATTTACAATTATATTGAGGTTATTTAAACTATAAACAAACAATAGTACGAACTTTATTATTGGTTTTATTGTGTGTTCTATAAGCAACTACACCAAACTTGTTCAATTTCCTATTAATACTGACTCGACAATCTTTTAGCAATGTGCTAATTTCCGTGAATTCTTAATGAGAAATAAAATGAGATAAAAATTCTTAAACCATAGTAAATAATCATTGTCTACAGTTGTTTACATTCATTTGGACCCATCTTTAAAATACATAAGTGGTTTTTCTTATATATTTGTATTGCAAGTTGATGATTATAGTGAAAATAGACATATTTTCAAGTCATTTCATTTGCATTACCCTTCAATACATACCATTTATGATAGAAATCATCTGTGAGAAGCTCATTACGCCAGCATGAGTTGTTTGGTCTTTTTTTTTTTGGTTTTGATTCACTTTCAGATCCATCACCTAAGTGTCTTATTTGTCCTGGCATATGCTTTCCTGGCGGTAGGTGCTAATGCACACACGCAGCAGATGTCATTGGTATTTTATGCACAATCAAGTATCTCAGAGGAAATTTGTGATGCAAATTTCAAGCACAAATATCTCCTGACAACTTTATCACCTTTCCGTTGAGAGCTCCCCTGACCTGTTGATTCACATGGTTATGTTGTGATGTCAGCTATAGGTCGAAAGTGAAAATTTCTTTGCCATCTGTTTCCTCTAGCTTATAAATATATTTGGATAAGTACAACAGCCTGTGAATTAATCAACAAGTACAGAGTATTAGTTTCTCAAGACTATAGGGCACACAGAAGGGGTACAAGATGTAGCAACTGCCCTAAAGGAGTATAAATGTAAACAAAAAGAAAATAGATGCTCCCTACTGTGTTCTACTTGGTCTAGGATGAGTCAGGTTATCTAGGTCAACATGTCTTAATTTGGGGGGCCCTGTTGACCATCTCATTAAAGCTATGACCATTCTTCCAAATGCCACATATACATATATATGCCAAAAAAGTTGAATAAAATATTAGTAACTTCATGTAGGAACCTTTGTTCTAAGAGAATAATTTCTAGATCATATAGCTATTCTGAAGATTATATGACATGGCGTACATATAGAATTTAGAAGATGTGCAATAAATATCGGCACATTTTCCCCGTTCTTCTTAATATTTGAAATTCACATTTTATTTAAAAAGCCTTAGCTTTGGCTGATGACTAAATGTACATCCAATAGCAAAACACATAAAAATAGCACCCCATCTTGCAATTTGTATTGGTATTATAGAAAGCCCAGAACTCAACTACAAAGGTGTGTATAAAATTGGGAGTTTTGGAAAACAAAAATGGCTTGGGAGCTCTCATTTTTCTGCTACCCAAAAAAGGGTTTCCCATTTCTCTTCCACCCATGGCAGAAATATAAAACCTCTTTCCGGGAGCCTCCCTCTCATTTATCTTCAAACTCTGCCACCCCACTGGTTCCTTCCTCCATCCTAATAGAAACTCCACCTGGCCCTCATGCCATTATTACATATCTCTTTTCTTTTCTTCACTAATCTCTTTGAAAATAGTCTCTATTCCTTCTTCCACATTCTTTCTTTAAATTCCCATGATGTCCGCTCTGCAGTGTGGCTTCTGCCTTTATCTCCCTGCTGAAGCTTCTGTGATTATGTCCCCCTTGAACTCCTAAACGCTGCCTCTCAGACCCCACACTGCGAGAACTCTTTGCAGTATGGCCTAACTGCTTCCTCCTCTATAATTACGGCCACCCTTGGAATCTTTCCGTCCTTCCTCACTCTCCTTCCTGGATCTTCTCTGCCATTTGGGATCCTCTTCCTTATCCTTTTGACTCCTGTCTTCCCTCCCAGCCCTTGATTAAGGTTTTCCAAGATTTCCTCTTAGATCCTTTTCTCTCCTCATGGCATACTCTCCCTGGGGAATTCTCATCAATTCCCATTGCTGCAATTCTACCCTGTAAACCGATGACTTCCAAATCCACACCTTAATCTCGCACCTGAATTCCACATCCAGATATGTTTGGATACTCTACAGGCACCTCACACTCCATGTTCCCCCAAATCCAGGTCCTCACTTGTCCCCAGTGCATGCTTCACCTGGTCTACCTTGTCTTACAACATCAATATTCACCAAGCCTCGCGATAGATACCTGAGACTCATCTTTGACTTGCGATAGATACCTGAGACTCATCTTTGACTTGCATCCTTGTCCTGAAGATTCTTCCTTTGTAGCATTTCTGGCTTTGGCAGCTTCTTCATCACGACCCGATTTGGGCTCTCTCATCAGGATTTACAGAATGGCCTTCTCTTCCCACTCTCTGTTTACAAATCCACATGGCAGGTGTCTAGTAGCCACTGTGTTCAAACAGAGCTGATCATGAGCTCATGGCACTTATAGGCAAAAGACCGACCTCTGTTGTGCAACATTTGAGGCCCTTCACACACTGGTCCCACCCGGCTTTCTAGCCTTTGAAGTCACCAACCCTTGTCAAGCCTCTGCGCCTTTGTTTAGCTCCCATTTCTGGCAAATTTTTCAAGTCTCATTAAATCTAGTCAATCTCTTAGGATCCAGCTCAGATGTCACCTTCTCTGTAAAGATTTATTTTACTTTTCTACAACCCCAAATACTGTAATTGCAATTTTGTTAATGCTACTGGCATAGCATGTATCACATGTGGTCATTATGCACAGTTGTTCAGATTGTTCACTAAACAAGGACACCTGGCCAAGAGGGGCAAGTGTCTAAAATCCAGCTGGCAGAAGGGAGCATCTCTTCTTCTAATTCACATAAAGATGCAATGTAAGTTAGTGGTGAGCCAGTGTCAAAAAGGACTTCAGTTTAGTTCTCCCTGAGGACATCTGCCTCTCTACTCTATGAACTCTTTGAGGCTAGGTCTCCCTTGCCTTTGTATCTTCAAGGCCTAGTGCAGTCTCTTGCATAGGCTTACAAAGATTATCCATTTTGGAATACTAACAGCAGCAAAAATAACAATACTGTATCGGCATTTTTAAATCTCTTATGTTGTAGGAACAATTCTAGGTGCTTTGAATGAATAATCTCAGTTATCGCAATAAACCTGGGAAAGACGGTACTATTATTATTTCCATTTTATAGATCATAAAACTAGCTCTATAGCTCTAAGAGGCTTGATTCCTTGCTTAAGGTCACACAGTCAGGATTTGAATCCAGGCTTGTCTAATTCCAGATCCTGGGCCCTCAAACACCATGGTAAACAGGTACCACACGCACACACCAAAGAGAACACGCAGGCCCATGAGGATAGAGCCTGGGGCTCGGCACCATTGGGGAATCTGAAGTGTCTTTACAGAAAGCACAGGCCAACGAAGAGCAAACCCAGAGGCATCCTGACGTCCACCTGTAAGAAGACAGACATAACCTTTCTGCACAGGAACAGAGCGAGCTCAGCCCCCGCCATCTCGTGGGAGTCT